CTTGGATTTAGCCCAGAAGGTCTGAAAATCAAGCAGACTACAACTCATTTATCTTGGGCGCTCATAAGTTACATGCATCGCTTACCAGGGGCATAAATAGTCCCTCAGCCGAGGAGTGCGCGGTTCTGACAGACGCACGTCGGACTCGAAATTAAGTGTGTGCTTGATGGCTAGTTTATTTGCAACACTGATATATTACCAAGCATATTTAACTACCAGTAGGCAAAGCATTTGAATATTCGAAATGGATGGATATTAAATAACGCGCCGTCATAGGAGGTACATCGATTTGTGAGTTAATTAAATTATTTTATTCAACACTTACTTATACGCCGCATCGAACTGTGCTCGCTTTGAACTTGGTCATAAATTTCTCTTACTCTGATTGAAGTTACTAAAATCTTCATAACCTATTTATTCATTTAAAAAATGACTGTATTAATTAACTATCTTCGAGATAATAGGATCTGTTAATCTTGCGCAGGGTAAGTTATGAAAATCTAAAAAAAAATTGTATTTATTTTTCAGTATCTTCTGATTATTTTGACATGGTTAAATGTAATAGAATATATAAGCAGTTGGTTACCACAGTGGATCATTTTACAAATTGGAGCAATCTCAAATACGGCGAGGATATGATGAGTTTTTCACTAAACAATGTTGTCAAATTGGATTATATTACATGACATTTCATTTATATCTACCGGTAAAAGTCACAAATTATCTGCGGCCTTAAGGATATTTCACCTTTTTCACCCAGAGTGGAGTTAGATAGAGTTTGTATTTCATTTATATTATTAAAATATCTAGTAAAATAATATAAAGGTAAATGGTAAGTAATATGTAGATGATATAAAACATTTAAAAAAATAGCTAATTTTATGACGCGGTTTTATGATGTTCAGGTATATTTGGGATGGTCCACTCTGGTTACCATCAACATTTCATGGATGGAATGTTTGTATGTTTAAGGGATAACAGTTGCTCCGAATTAAAATTATCAAAAATGATGAATTTATTGAGAGAAAAGTGCAAACAGAAGTAATTAACCGTACTAACGTTTTATCGATTTTGAACTAATACTTTCTATTATTTAGTCATTATCCAAAACATACTGAAAAAATCCATGGGTCAAGCCATTTTGGAGATACGGCGAAAAAATTACTAAAATTACTAAAAGGCAAAAGGTATAAATATTTTTATCACTGAATTTTGGGTTTCGTATTATTATAGGAGTCTTTTTTTGAAAATCCACATAAATGTTGCATTTTGTGTTACGTAGTTATAAAATTTATTCAAACTCTGCTTTGATAATTCAGGTTGTTGGGTTATAATTTAACCCTTGTATCTGTGGACTGTATTAAACACTGATTTGTTTCTATATTATGTATTTGTTGCAGTTCTTATTACAATCACTGATTTGTTACTAAGTTATAATGAAAGAAGATATATTTATTGGTTATTTATTATACATGTTTTTGCGCAAACTTTACATTTAGAAGTGAACAACTAGTTCAATTAAAATACTCCGCTACCCCCTCTTCTACCAGGGGTAGCAACCATTCCGTGTAAAGCTTAATGCCCTGAAGGTTGTCACCTTCATGGCCAATATAATAAAACGAAAATACGTCCGAACAATGTTTTATTTTCAAAAATATTCAAAATATTCGCAACTGTCCAAACTGTTCACATTTTTAATAAAGATATTAATATTATTTTTATAATATTTTTTTAATTATGTGAAATATGCAATGATGCCATATTTGTATCAAATATACAATGTCTTGTTAATTTTGAGATACTCATGGAGCGAGTTTGTGCGTGGGTCTGTCACCAGACTACATAATTTTCTCTACAATGCTGAGATTTATGAACTTTAATGTATTATTAACTTTGTATAAATGACCTTCATGTATTACTAATGAATAAGTTTCTGTTTTTTTTTCTCTAACTATGTCCATATTGGGAATTGCATAAGAAAATACAATTACTAAATGTTATGAAAACTCTTGGGAAAAATTGAGAAATGAAATTGAGCAAAAAATCTATATTTTTATTGTAAATATTCACGTAAAAAAATTTTTTTTCAGGAGAATCCTGAAATACGCGTCAAATGATTTTCTGAATAATATCTGGAAAAAAACAACAGACCATTCTAAAATGTGACATTTTATTTAACTCAAAATTCGTGCGATTTGTAACAGAATGATCCATATATATATATATATATATATATATATATATATATATATATATATATATTATTGTTTTATTTTTATTATAGTTTTTGTGGTTTATATGTACCACTTCATGTTTCTTACCAGTACAGTATTTTATGTTGCTTATTTTTAGAGCAAAAGCTCGGCTATGAACCCATGGTGGTAAGAATATGAATTATCAATCACTAGTCCAGGTTAGATATCCATTTTGGACATAGGCATCAAACAGTAGCGATTTCACTTAAGACTGTTGATCTCAAATATAATATGAAGTGAAAATAGACACTTGAGGGTTTCAGTATATATTCACTTCACTAATAGAAATATGTATAAGATAATTTTATCAGAAAGAGAATAGTCAACCACTGGGTTGCTTTTTTGTAACACTAGACAAATAAATTAAATCAGAACACAAAGCTATAATTGCTATTCAAACGTTAAAAAGTACAACAAAATAAAGGTTATTTAACTTCTATTTGTCTTTAACTACTAAATAGATATAAACGACTAGATGTGAACAAATATCTGCCCGTCAAATAAGGTTTATTTTCATAAAATATGTTTTTTTCCTATACTATGTTTTGTCATTACAGAGAATTATTATCGTTATGAGCTAAAAAATGCTATGAATAATTCCAGTTTATAGTAGCTATATATATTTTTGTTTAAACTATACAATTTATAATCTATTAATATAAATATAAATGAAATCTTTTGATCATGATATAAATTCAAATAGTATTATATTTTTTTAATTAATAAAAATAAAATTGTTACCAATTAAAAAACTTTATTGTATTTATTTATTTCTATGCTGCAAACTTAAAGCTACGTCACACATAATTCATCGAAGTGTATTTAAGCTGCGAGGTGAAAACTTTATGGCTTCTTACGTTTATAATTCATTTTAAATACTATTGTATGTGCACTGCGTCAGATTTTCTATGATCAGATACATAACAGTATGCATGATAAAATATGCAACCTCCTCAACAAACAAAATCATTATTTAAGACGGCAATTCTAATTTATCTAAACTCATTAACCTATAAATCCGCCACTGTGTGTGCAGCAGTTCCATTTGAATAAATCTCGTTCTGTGTTCGAATTCATGTGTATCTACGGTCGTAATTTTGAAGCTTTTATGTTTATTTCTTGATAAATGCGTTCGCCAAATTTAACGCGCGTTAGCTGCAAGATTTCGCCGTGACGCGAATCACAAATCATAAATCGCCAAGTATCTTTTGTTAAAAGCAGAGTCGTCCTTTTACATTCCGAATCGCATCTTATTATAATCTTTACGAACCCGGTATAATGAAGGCCTCAACAACAATAAGATGCATCCTAATGACCATTATTCATTACCATATACTCGGGCATGTTTGGGCGAAGTGAAGATTCCAAATCAGTTCGAAATATTTCACTAATGGTTATTGATGGTGAACCTTGATACAAGTGTGGTACTCCAAATGAAAATTTTCAACAAACAAATATTTTAATGTTTTATTAATTTTTAATAATTGTTTTAAAAATAAGTTTCTGGACTATTACAAAATGAAATACGGTGGTGTGGTCCAATTTGGCCTTTAGTAATTATACTGTGAAAATCAAAATAACTACATCACAGTAGGGTAGAGCGGGGCTAGTTGAGCATAGGGGCAAGTTGAGCAATCGAAATATCTCGAAAACTATTCACCGTCCGTTTAGGCATTATATGGCGAAAAGATAGAGGTTTGGGAGAAATAAACATCCCGCGATCGCTACTGGCCGCTGGACTAATGAGTGCGGCTCACGGGCGTTTTGTTTATTTTGAGACCAAAAAGTAAAAAAGTCTTTCATCACGAGAATACGTCTGGTTTAGTCAATTGTTATTTATTTTTAATCAGGTAAATGTTATTCTTGCATATAACTATAGTACTTTTAATATGCACAGAGATTCTGGGTATAATTCTCACGGTTTTTTTATAAACTCGCTTTTATTTTGAAATTCCGAGTTGGGGTTAGTTGAGCATAGTTGCTAAACTTGTTCTGTCACTAAGACAATTACCATTAACTTCCAGAATTAATTATTATTTTTAAGATTTAAGCTAAATCTATGAGTAACAATATAAAGAAATAATGATTTTAAGAAAAAATACTGAATATAATGGTAAAATAATTCCTAAGATACGATATTGTTTTGTTGATTCTACTTTTGGTTAATTATTCAAAGAAAATTACTATAAGTTTTGTTTTCTCTGTCAATAAAGACTATAAATATAAAACTGGTTATTAAAAACTTATTTTATTTCATCACTAATCGACATTGAACCTATAATTTCATTATACTTTCTTAGTGCTCAACTTGCCCCACCTATGGGGTACATTGAGCATACTTGACTTTTTGCATTTAAACAGTTGTAACTTTTAAATTTTACTTATTACCAAAAAATAGTATTAACACTTTTGTTAAGCGATAAACATCAAATGCACTAAGCCGTGTAGCAATTTATTGAGACTTTTCATTGAGGAGCTACATCGGTTTAAGTAAAAATTTGCTCAACTAGCCCCGCCCTACGCTACTTAACTCACAACAAATAATCAACTATCAAACTATAGACATATAAGGGGCCAAAAAGGTTCAAGCTATAATTTTTAATTTTAAAGGTCTTTCGCGGAATATTATCTACATTATTTAATCAATACGATCCAGTCTATCACAAAATATATTATTCAAATTTTGTAACTTGTTATTCTACAATACTCTTTTATTATCGTTACTACTTAAAATATTATTTGCAGGGTCTCATAGAGTATGCAGTGCGCATTCTGTGTTCAGTTCCGGAATTATTTGTTGATTACCATGGACATTCAAGAAGGAAAAATGTTTTCCTGTATGGGTGCTGCGCTCAAGACAGTTGGCGTCCAAAGGACAAAGAAGCAGCATCCAATAACGATTATTTAGTAAGTATTGTTGTATCGATAAACTTAAAATAATCTGTCTATATATATATTAGTGCAAAGGCTGGAGGCAGATCTCATGGTATGAGAGCATCACATATCACATTTATTTTTCCAAAATATTTTTGCATGCTTTTCGGACACAACAAATACATTTTATAAATAACGCATACAAATATCAATGATAATAATATTAGGGGGAAGTCCCGTAACGCCGGACGGCACCTAGGGCCGGACACTCTATTTAACACGTATTATTTAAACGAGTATAAATCCTTCAATTGCAAAATACAAATAAAAGGGGCGTGGGGGCACACAGGTGCAGGATCACGCGCCAAGCCTCGCCTCTGACGCACACGGCCACGGCGGGAGCAAGCGTTTGTTGTTTTAGGCGAGAAATCACGGCGTCACCTAAGTATCACAGGAAGTAATTACGTCACCTAAATATCAATAGAAGTAAATCTAGTATATTTATGCATTTCCATTAGAGTGGCATTCAAAGATAAAAGTAGTACTTGATTGTTATCTGTAAAATGGTAAAATAATATTAGATGTTTTAAACAATTTTAGTAGGTATCACCAAGTGAACAAACATGTCTGTCCCTTAGCACCGAACACTAAGCGCTGGATAGTAAACATATTGATATTTCTTGTGAGAATTGACGTAATTTATTCTAATTATTTAATTTTGTTTTGTATGAGTGCTAACGATCACTACATACCCCCATTTTTCGTATTTCCTAGTCAAATAATGAAAATTTTATGATGAATGCTCCAGCTGAGAGCATCGGTGTGGTCTAGCCAAAAGGGTGGATAAATAGTGAATTTTGCAATATCTAAGAATATTCGTCAAACACACATGTGCAGACATTTCAGCTACATATGTTTTCAATGCAGGTTATTTTGAATTGTCCGGTACTAGGTGCCACTTTTTAAAATCATATTTTTTGTTACCAAAGTTTGATTGATAGTATTAATTATTTTTAGCAAAGGTTGCGTTTTTGTTAATTTAGTTTGATTTGTTATCTAACTTTGTTATCTAACATAAATAATAATTTAATAAACATTTTGTTGAATAATTTTTTGATTTATTTATAAATAATTTTCGGTGTCCGGCACTCAGGGACTTCCCCCTATATAAAATCATATGAGTTTAAGTCTTTCTCTAATAGACATGGCATCAGCCTAAGGTAACAATAATACTTGACAACTCTCTTGCGCATTTTCTCTTCCAACAATTCTAAAATGAGGAAACAGCATGCAGTCAACTGTATTCCTTGTTTATTTGAAATACTTTAGGTAAATGTCTGGACACGTCGAAGTTAACAACTGAAAATATTTCAATAAACAACAATTAATAGAGACATCAGACAGTTCAATAATGTTAGCAACGTTACGTCAGCCTGGACCTCTACACGTAATCTAACCTTCCACTTCCTAGAGCAAATATAAATGTAGATACTTAACTCCGGGCGCAGGCAACCGCGTTGGAGTGCTCCAAGTAATGTGATAACTAAATCAATAGATGCTCAAATGTTATTACTGGTAGTTATATGCAGGCAGGAGGATTCATGTGGTTTTGCAATTATTGTCAAGCTGTATTTTATAAACATTCCATAAAGCCAGTTCAAAAGCTCTATGTAATGACGTCAATTGGAAACATTGTTGGAATTGAAAATAATAACTAGGTGCAAGTGGCATTTTGCTTTAAGGCATGTTTCGAAAAACTTTTTGATATGTGTCAACAATCGATTAAATCAATCAACAATAAATAAAAATTGAATTTTTTTACAGAACTTGCAACTTTTTACAAGGCTTATTTTTTTCCAAATTTTGGTAAATTATTACAAGTGGATTCCTTTTCGTAGGCCTATAATATTTTAGGATAACCATCAAAACCATCAGCTTTATATACCCTACTACACACATATACTACACTATTTCACCAAAACTGATAAAATATTTCAACAATTAATTGCGAAGAAATCGTCCGACCGATCTTTACCAAAAACAATTCAGCACGATTTCCATTTTTTTTAAATTTTCAAAATCGGTTCAAGATTTTTAGCAAAAACGTCGACAAAAAATTGCAATCATTTTATAATTACGATGGCTTTGGATAGTTCTTCAGAATGATTGAAATCGGTACAACTATTTTATATCGAATGGAAAAACAACTACTAAGTTGTTTTTTCAAACATGCCCTTGTAGTGTACAATGTCCCTTTTCGGCCGACTCTTGTAAATTCATCAAATTTATTGAATTTCCTTTACTGGACAGTTGTAAATAAAAGAGATAATAAAAAAAAAACTATTTTGGAGAAAAACGAAAAACTTAACGAAAGATCACAATTACTTCTAATTTTGCTGTCAAATGATTCAGAATGACTTGAAACATTCAGAAAATATAAAATTAGCAAATTGGATTCTCTGACGAAATTATAATATATTCCTTCGTGAAGTTAATTTTTTTTTTTACAAATATAATGGTACTAAAGTAAATGGCAGTAGTAGATGACGTTATTTGTATATTAGTATCGTCAACTAATCGTTCAATAGTGGAAAATCGTTAAATTAAAATGTAAAGGAACTGTTGTTTATCAATTTGCTTGAAAAGTTAAAAATTATTTTGGAATCGGTTGAAAGATTTCATTCTGTTTTTTTTTCAAACATTTTATATATATATATATATATATATATATATATATAACAGTTCTTCTTGCAAGCTATGTATAAAATTTATCCAGCGTGTTTCAAGATCACTAAAAAAACTACTTTTTATTATTAATATATCAAATTCAACTCTAAAGATAGAACGAAAATACGTTAATTAAATTACCGACTAAGAAGAAAAGAGGTAAAGATAATAAAAGGTAAAATTTAAAAGGTAGCAAAAACTCATAATCCTAGAGAAAAATAAGCACATAATATATTAATTTTTAAATCTTCATAACTGTTCTCTATCGTTAACATAATAGAATTTTTATACGGCAAAATAATTTCGTCTTCCTTAATTCTTCATTCAACTTCTATTGTACAGTTTAATCAGCGAAATTGCAAGTCATTTTTTCCTTGATAGATTGAATCGATAATAAATATAGTTACGCAACTAAATGTCTATAATAATTTTCTTTTATTATAGTCTTTTATTAAATTTTGTAACCATATATTTATATCTGTGTAATCAAAATGTGTTACAAAATCAAACGGTAAATTCGCGTATAATCATAGAGATTTAATGTATAACTCAAAACATATTGTTCAGTTGAGGCCAAGGTAATTGGATTTAAAATAAATAGTACTTGTTTGAATTAAGGACGCTTCTCGAAATTATAACGGAACAGGAAAATATAGTATGCAGTAAGTAGTTTGTAGATGAGAAAATAAAGAAGGCTTTGACGACCAAATTTCCGGAAAAACAGTTGCGTGAGGTTAATAGTAAATTATATTCCTTAATGACAAAATAAGGAGTTCATTGTTTTTCATAGCGCTGATGGCATTTGTCAAATGCTGAAAATAAAATTAATATCATTAATTTTAAATCGTTTATATGGCATGACAAAGGTCATTATCAGCACTTCACAATATTGTGAGGTTTTAAAAATTAGCTGGTAGGTAATTTTTCCAAGGCTGGTTGCATGAACTTTCCGACATGTGTAGATAATCGACTGCATCACCAAATACCAAATTTGCTAGAGGGTTTATAATGTGATGAACTATTGCAAATTTTCCAATTTTGTGCAAGTTTGCCAAACAAATTAGTTAATTCGACAAATAGTTAATGTTATAAATTATTTACCGAAAAACAAGTGTAATTGTTACGACTTTGGCTTCGTTCGTCATTTTCACCATCATTTCAAATTTTAATAATAGGTACTTTATAATTAAAACTCTTTTTTAGTCTCGTAATATTTTAGTACGTTGTTTTGACAATTTACCCTCAAAATTTACCCACAATAGATTTATAAAGACCTTTTTTTAATGGTGCACCCGATCTTCTCCTAAAGGTTTTGTAGTACATAAATATTTAAATATTGTTTGAGCGCATTCTAAAATTGTGAAAATTTATAGAATCATATCTTCGTTAGCGCTAAAATATATGTAACTAAAATAATTAATAATTTTGTAATAACATTAATATAATAACTTGTAATTGCTCGAACAAATGATTTCATTAATTAAAATTACTGTTTAAAATAAGTTATAAAAATATTATTAAAAACATGTAACATTTAAAGAATCGGATTTGTAATATATGTTGCTCACCCAGACAATATATCAACCTGTTTAAAAGATTTCAATTTAGTTACACAGTTATTTGAAAATTATAAATAAAATCATATTATTTTTGGACTATTAAAGTTACTGTTAATATTATACAAATAATCTGCATAAACAAATAACTATTTATTGCTAGTTTTTACAAACAAATAATATTGTCTACACCTGCATAAATAGAATATTTCCAATTATTTTGGATATATTTTACTAAAAAAGCACGTTTAATAATAGGATCCATGGATCATTTATCAAACGTGATAGTAAAATATTGACTATGGATTGACTATGTAAAAAGTAAAATATTGATTATGGAATTATTTATTTTTTTGTAGCTTTGTTAAAAAATGTATGATAGCATCTGATTTTTTTAAACAGATTGTATGAAATATTTTGTGCTTCATATGTAAGTAGAAAATAATTTTCTATAATAAAAGTAATGAACTTAAGTAATTACTCTAGTGACTAAAATATCTTATAATTGAGTTTGATTTGCAAGAAATAGTCAATTATTAAAAATCATGGGCGTATTGCCATATAAAATAGACTGCAGCCTTAAAAAAATTGATAGGACATTATGACAAAGTGTTTTCAAAAAAATGTGATATGCCCACCTCAATATTTGGCAAAGATGTCATTAAAATTATGCTAGAGTGTGCACTCTCTTTTATTATAGAAAATTATTATCTACTTACATATGAAGCATCAAATATTTCATATAATCTGTTTCAAATTATCAGATGCAATCTGCATTCGATACATTTCTTTACAAAAAAATAAATTATTCCATAATCAATATTTTACTGTCTACCTTAAATCAACAATTATTTCATCGTGTGACACTAAGTTTTCTCTACCATTGTAAATTTATGTATGCTCATCCAATTAGGTTACACTTGCAAACATGTAACTGATCATGTTTTAGAAAACATACATTGAATTTTAATGCTCTCAATGATAGTTTATAAATCATGTATCATAAATTTTATTTTATGATATTGCAATTCTGCGTAACGATGCACTTTTTTCAAATGGAATAATATTCTGATTTTTTTCACGAGCGTCGCGTCAACTCAGTATGTATGTCCTATTGCATTTGCATTTAAATCAGATCATTTTCAAAATTTTAATGAGAAAAAAGTGTTATTTCAATAATATATTCAATAATTTCTTAAAGAACGTTTAGATAAAACTTTAACTTTTTGTATGATAGATTTAATTTATATAGAATATGTACTAAATGTACCAAATTTAATACTTTTTTATATACAATTAGATCGTAACTAGTGAAACAAACTATAAAGCTCAATTGATAATATTGTTATTATAAAAACTGATTGAAAATATATATTAACTTTAATCAAATGTGTAATGAAAATTGTTATTATTGAATTTATTTTTCACAGACACTACCAATGCTGATGTCCCGTACTTCGTCTGCATTTTCTTTGCCTTTCTGCTCTTATAAAGTAGAACGAAAGAAGGAAAGTACCGCTAGGGTCGTCGTTTGGAGACAGCTTGGGGTCAAAAGGAGTTATACACTTGAAGCCAGCTTTTGTGGATGCGATCAGGGTGAATTAGATGTGAGTAAAATTGAAAGAACGTATAATTATTATCTTAAAATTAGTAACACTTGTCCATCAAACTAATACTACACCTTTTGGTTTATGCAATTTAACTCTTGGTGAGGTTTACTGACAGTTTTTGAAATTTATTACTACCGTACAAATGACAAATTTTATTTTCATCACTAAGAATGCTGAACTTTAAAGAAAGGTTCGAAATTATTAACGAGTTAAAGACAATATTGCCATGAAACACGTATAATCTTTTTATAAATTTATTTTATTACCTTTAATTTGTCGAGTAAAATGATGGTCATCTTAAGTAAATCCAGAACAGATTTTTTTGAATCAACTATAAATTAACTATCACCACAATCTTTGATTTATACATTTTAACTCTTGATGTGGTTTGTTCTGGCAGTTTTCGATTTATGATGCAGTACATGACTCTATTTTTTACCATCACTAAGGATGGACCTTCAAAAAAGGTTTAAGTCTAATAACAATTCCAAGATAATTATTGTGTGCAATACGTATAAAATTTCTACAATATGTATCATCAACTTTAATAGCTCGACGAGAACGATGATCACCTTTACTTAAAACTGTGATTGACGAATATACTCCTCATGGAGAATTGGCAGAATTTTTGCATATAAATCTTTGAATATTACATTTAGGTTGCAACCACATATTCTCAAACAATATGTTTAAAATATATTACCGATTAAGCCAGTATAAAAAATAGTTGCATTTCAACTTTTCACAGCAAAATTTTACCTCGATTCTGACGAGAAAATTGTGCATACTGTTCAATGAGCGTGATTAAGTAAAATTTCTGTAAACTGATTTTTTCAACCAATTCTGACACGTGCGTACTGCTATGCACTTATTCAAACAAAGTCAATTATAGTTTTTGTGCTCCTATGATGATCAAAAACTACGAGCAACATTCAGAGTTAGACACAGCAAACGGAAAAATCTCTTGAAAACAGTTGCAAAGCCATTTATATGCGAGAACTAAAGATGCTGGTAATTGACACAGCATTATTTTTTCTATGTTTTCTATTTTTATAAAAAAATAATATTGATTTTTTATTTCAAATATCTTACCAAATCTGGTTTTCTGCCACCACTGCGTTGTACCGAGTGACATCAGAGCACTCCTATTAACCTTAAAGGGTCAGATGATCTGCAATAAATTATATGGATCATCAGTAAATAGCATTCATAAATATACAGCTAGAAAACTAGTTCTTTCGCCACCGGGAATTGAACGATTTATTTGTAAGTCTATAATATCACGTCATATTAACATATTGCTATTGCAATACTTTGTGAAAATTGCTTTTGTTGATTTGGTACAAATAAAATACTAAATTATGGTAAAACAAATTTAGAATAAACTAGATCAGCGAGTTCCTCTAAAGAAGTCCACATTTAATTTTTCTTTTTTTGTAATAATTTTTATTCCCAAACATGCAGCTATTTTTTAAACATTTACATAACGTTTTCATAATTTATATAGGATTAAATCAGTGGTTTTACTAATTTTTATATCTAGCCTTTTAAATATCATTTTGCTTTAACCAGTACGTTCCATGCAATTGCGTTAACAGTTAGAAAAATTTAGTCAAATTATATGTTCGTAAAATATTCAATAAATACATTTATAGTTACCAAATAGATATTTTAAGATAGTTTAAGCCAAAAGTGCGTACCAAAAAATATTTATATGTTTATTACTTTGTTGCAGTCAAATTTTCTTATCGATTTTTTCTATCGTTTAGATTTTTATGAAAAAAACACAAAAATTAAAAAAGTCTCTAAAATGAATATTATTAAAAATAAGAATGAAATAATATAATAATCAACATTATAATGAGAATAATAATTTGTATTAATGCATTTATTGAAACAGTGTGACGTGAAAGATCTAATTTTTTTTCTCGATAACTAACACATAGTTCACGATAACTTTATTCGCATACAAGAGCATTCCAATTTTTCCAGAAAATTTAAAAAAATGTAAATGAAGACTTATTTAGTATTACTAAGTTTGATCTTCAGAATTCGTAAATGGTAAAATAAAACAAGCATTTAAAGTTATTTAAAACACACTAACAATTTATTACATAAAATTAAGGTAATTGACAAAAGGCAACAACACGTAAAACTTATTAAAATGACTTTATAAATAAAAATTCTGTTTGGAACAAAACAATTAATATGCCAAGCCAGTCCATTTTTCACTCACAGCCCATAACCAGGTTGCTGTTGATGTATCGGTTGCTTGAACAGCTACTGGTTTCTCCTTACAATCGCTGAAATATTTCCCGGTCACTCCTTCTAAGTCTGGATGTAAAGCAAGATGTAATGTTGTTTGTGCACCCCGAACAGGGCTCTTTATGAAAGGCCATAAGATTACTTTTAAGAAATACCGGGAATACTCTGACGAAAAAATAGGCATATGCCGCATTATTTCCGTGTCAACAATCCCGGGATGCAACGCGTTGGATGTAACTTTAGTATATTCTAACCGTTTTGCTAGTACATTTGAGAACAGAATATTTGCCAATTTGCTTTGGTTATATGCCTCTCCTGGATCGTATGACATGTCACTGTTCAAGTCATCAATTTTGATTTGTCCTCTTGCGTGGGCTAAACCTGATACATGAACAATTCGTCCAGCTGGTGCGGCCTGCAACATGTCTAACAAGAGATTGGTGAGTAAGAAATGTCCTAGGTAGTTCACACCTAGTTGCATCTCGAAACCATCTACTGTTCTTGTTAATGGACATCTCATTACGCCAGCGTTATTGATTAATACATCTACCCGCTTGCATTCCGTATGCATAGTTTTAGAAAATTCACGAATCGATTTCATAGATGAAAGGTCGCATTTTCTACAGAAGACGTTTGTATTATTGGTCTCCGAAACAATCTCATTTCTAGTTTTCTCACACCGATCCATATTCCGGCAAGCCAGGTAAACATGAGCTCCACGTTTAGCCAATTCTCTTGCCGTTTCCTTGCCAATTCCAGAATTAGCTCCTGTAATTACGATTATTTTGCCATCGGCCCTGACGTCCGATTCAAATTTACCGCCCCCCATATACTCTTTTACGTAAAACGTTGCTCCAGCTGCCGCACAAAATGCGCTGAGGTAACAGAAGGGCTTGAAATATTTCATTATGTTTGTTATTATGCACTTATCAATTTTAATTTGTTAAATGTCTAAAAATTTTTATTGTCACTTATTAAATTTAGAGCTGACTCATAATAATTTCGAAATAGATATGTTGATGCGTATTTGTTTACCCATTTTAGCACACTGTTATTTTTTAAACAAGACAAATGATCAGATGTCATTTTTTTATATTTTGTTTTTATAAAATATATTTAATTTAAATGTAATAGAAAACTCTGCGAAATGTAATCGTATTCTAGTGAAAATGAAATATCTATTATGCGATAACATTTATTGAAAATAATTGGCAATCATTAATTATCGCGTCAGAAGTATTTTTTATAAGAAATTCTTGTATTTTATTATAAATTTAAATCAGATAAACACTTAGATAATTTATTCAATTTTAAAGTTATCCGTATGTTTTAATAAGTTTTTCTGAACGATTTATGTATTTTCACCACAATAAGCAAACATTGCGTAGATGAGCAAGAGCATTTGAAATTGGGTAAAAAGCGTTTGCAACACATTGAACTGTGATTTTCTGTAGAAGCATATTTTCAAAGTCGCTATGATAATTTGAAAATGCATATAATAAATTTTTTTGGCTTCTGAATTGCTATATTTACCTATAATCGTATAGGTATAATCGTATAATATTGCTTTACCTATAATCGTCAGGCTTATATCGCTTAGCAATATACCAAAATTTAAGTAAGATATTTTAATACATTACATAATTTAGTACATTAATAAAGGGTGAACCACTGGGTTTTCCTCTTAAAATTTTATGCTATTTGTCAAACTAATTACTCAATGTCTTTCTATTTAGGCAGATTGTAATTTATAATAAAAAAAATGCTTAGCAAAAAAAAACTCTTCATTCCAAACATATCATGGTGAAAGGTAACATTTTTTTGGGTGGTTTGCAGTTTCTCAAAGTATTATCATTTAATCAATTACTGTTCATAATTATAAGGTTTATCACTGACTGCAACCAAATTACTGAATCATTCTTTTGTAATTTTTATGATAATAAAAAAAAATCTATTTACTATTTTGCCAAGTAGGGGAGACTGGGTATAGTTATGACACTTTTTGTTTGACAATTAGCTTACTAACAAAGACCAGTTATCTGGAAGAAAAGTAAATTAAATGGTAACTTGAACATTTGTCTACGTGGAAATACTGAAATACTGTCCTTAAAAAAGATGTGTTAGTCACAAAATCAAATCATACAAGAAAAGGGCGGCGAGTGTTGCAATCATCCACAACCCCAGAGACAGTTATGACACCAAAATGGTTTTTAAGGACTTTTATTGTCGTTAATAACAGTAATATGTAACACAACACAACATAATCATTTAAACAAAGCTTAAGAATAAAATATAACAATATATAACAAAACACATTTTTTGACAAAGTTAACATGAATTCTTTGCGATTTTTTTATGTTGAATTTTTCTTGCAGTTAGATTTTTTTCGTTTGTTTAATCCTCACCCAAAAAGGACAAGAAATACGTTACATCAATATCTCAAAATTTGTCACAACCGTACTCAACGTACACTTTTGAAAACAAATCGTCATTATGACTGAGCTAAATTTTCTAAGAAAAAACTAATAGCTGGTAAATAACTACGAATGTTCAATTGCAGCAAAATAACAGAGAAAGTAATCTACCTGTATACAATTAAGTTATTATTCGAAGAATTCGAACATGAAAACTTACTTTTGACTCTTTGACAGCGATGCAGTCTACAGATCATGTTAATGTATTGAAAGCAATAATGAGAACTTGTTCGAACATACATACTTTATCTTTATCCCTTTGGACCCTATCTCAAAATCAGTATAATTTTGGTGTTATGACGATTGTCTCTAGAGTACCTTGGCACAATCGTACCCAGTCTCTCCTACTTATAATATAAAATTCATGTAATTCCTAATTTCTTTTCAAAATGAAAAACGTTATCCATATTCATATTTAGAGTACCTAATTATGTTACAAAAGAACTCATTTAGAGTCTGTGATTTATTTCGGCTGCATGGAATTTTTTAATTCACAAATATACCGGTTTGTCTTCACAATTAAGATGCAAGTCAATAATATGATTAATATATTTTTGAAACTGATTCAATGCAATTACTAACAATATTCCGAGCTATATCTAACATTCTGTTTCGTTCGTAATTATAAAGTGCCAGAATTTTCATGCAATTTCAAGTTCATGATTGATGCAATGTGGGCCCGAACTTGACCTGTGGCTTGTGTGGCTTTACAACATAATTTATGTTTCTAGTCTACTGCGCAGCATCAAGTAACTTAATAATAATAACGTAATTTATTCGGTAATTAATATTACCTTTAGAGGCTGGAACAGAATCATTTAATACAGTGATCCACAAGAGGAGGGTCTTCGAAAACGCAATCTTGAACTTTGACTATGGCTTTCATAACTTGTTCTTTTGAGTAGTACATTCTTAATATGTTTCTGTTTTTTTACTGTTTCATATCGAAAATTGGATTAGGTGTTTTTATGATTTTTTAAATTAGTGATTAATACGAGTGCCTTAAAATAAATTGCTATTTTTTTTACAAATTTAATTGTGTTCTTAAAAATTATGAGAATTACGAAAATTTGAAAAACTTTGAAGTTCAGAAAAGTCTTTGTTTTTGTTTGTGCATATTGAGTCTCTCCTTCGATAACGAAGGTTTTTGGGTTATAATTTAGCTGTAGACTGTATTAAGCACTGATTTGTTGGTATAATTTATGTATTAGTTACAGTTCTTTATACAATCACTGATTTTCACTAAGTTATAATTAAAGATGATATATTTATTGATTATTTATTCCAGATGTTGTTACGCGAACTTTAGTTTTAAAAGTGAGAAAATTAAGTCTGATTCAAATCTCATACCACCTTTATAGGGTAGCAACCATATGGTGTAAAAGCTCAAGGCCATGAAGATTGGCGCATTGGTCAATATAATAAAATGAAAATACGTCCGAACAGTCTTTTTTCAATTATTATAAATGGTATATTTGCATTTGTTAAATTACGTAGCTTATTACATATAATCAATTGGCCCTTCTTTCATATAAAAATGGGTTTTTTGTATTAAAGTTTTAAACTAGACCGTTTTTTATTTTCAAATGTTTTAAAGGTACATGTTTTCATTATTAGTGACTGCGTATGTTCATGAAAAAAATTACACAAAATTCTGAATAAAACTTACTATCTACTCAATTGCTACTTATTCCTGTTACAACTCATCGTTACTGACTCAGTTTTTCAGAATTTGAGAATAATTTACTAAATAAAATTACTGATGATTTCGGGAATCATTTTATTAATTTCAATCATTCAAGAAAGATACTTCAACTATATCAATTAGTAATTGCTTAAATATTTAGTTAAAAAAAGTTATATTTTAAATTTGTACATAAATTTAAAATTAGTGAGTGTGGGAATGGTCATTATGAAAACTCTACTAGAACAAAAATATAAGCGAAAAATTGAAAATATAACGTGATTCAAACTAATTGCTTCGTATCAAATCATATTGAATTACTAAATATATAGTAATATGCTTACTAAAAATTCAATTTCTTTAGTTTTACATCTGCATAAATATTCGATACAATCCATTACAATTAATGCATAGCATCAGTTAAAAGTTGAATAAATGAGGTTCATTAGATATTCCGTAACTATTTTTATTTTCCGAATATCATTCTCAAATATACATTTTAACATAGTTTTTGAACAAATACATGTATTAATAAATTTTCAATTTTTCCTATCAATTCTTATTTACGGCTTGGAATTTATTTGAAGATTTGACATAAAATTTCTCAACTGGTACTAGGCAGAAGTGCAAATAGTGTAAGTAAAGTGCTTGGACAATGAAATAATATTTTTTTTCGTAAGATTGAATTGCATTTTTATTTCTGGTTTTATAAATAGTAACATAGCTAATTTCGATTTATAGTTTACCTACAGATTCATGGGTAAAGTTTTTAGAATGTTTTTGATTTTTTATGGTTTACATGTAGCAAGGGTATTTCTTTGAGATCATCTCTGAAATGCATTAAATTAGAACGAATTCTTTAGCAAAACACGAATAGTTAACTGACATTAAATGCTTGGCAAAGATATACATTATCGGAACGTAGAAAAATCATAGTATCAATTACAAACTATTATGCATTCCGCGAGGAAAAGATGTCGGATCGAGCGACCACCGTGACTGTAATTCTGTTTTAATTATTTGCACGAGAATTAAAATCCACGTAGAAAATGTGAACAATTGCAAAAAGCTCGTTTGTTCATGTAGACGCATACAATGGATTTCTTGCATTGCAGTCAAACCAAGAATATGAAATTGTTAATTACTCAGAAGTCAGAAGGCAGGAGGAGGCTGGCAACTTGGAGCTGCCTCTCGGCTTTGTTCTTCATCATACTAGTTTTAGCGGACTCTTAACGTTCATCTTTTTCAAATATTTTCGTGCAGAAAGAATATGTTCCGCATATTTTTAGAGACTATTATTTGTTTTTGTTTTTTTTTTAATTTCAGACAATATTTTACGATTGCAGTAATTTAATTTTCTCTAAGATTGCTAAAGTGCACGGACTCCCATTGTATATTTTTAATGGACAAAATATTTTGACACAATATAGACACATATATATATTGAAAATAATAGAAAGGTTTACGTTAGCTCGTGACAGTCCCATATTTGCACCTTGCGCTCTGGCTATTTCCAGAAGCAATATTCTTCGGGTTTTTTTATCCCGGATTGCCCAAAATCTAAAAAAATGTATTTTTAATATTTATTTTAAATATATTTTAATTAGAATTATTTAATTTTATTTTTTTATATACGCGGGTAAAAAGTTGTACCATCATTATATAAAAAACGAGTAAATTTAGGTTTTATTTAACAACGTTATTTGAAAGCAAAGAGCAAAAGATGCGTAAAAACGATTACCTAAACTTTTATTCTGGCGATGTGTAAACAATAAAAAACTAGTAAACTAGAAAAAAGCAGTAACAAAAGCAATTTTACAAAAGATAAATTAAATCAATAGTAATTCCAATTCTGCTGAATACCGATGAATTCTTCTGACAAATTTGCACACGATGAAAGTTGTATGCAATACAAAATCTTTATAAAAAAAGCCATAAATATGTATTTCAAACAGAAGTCGTATTTATTTTATTTGCAATAATTGTATTACAATATACGAGTACAATCGGTCTGATTGTGATAAATTAAAAAAAACTGCAAATCCAGGATTGACGATAATAGTAAGAGTTGATACAAATTTTTGTTTATTATGTTTAAAAATATATAATTTAGATTATGATTTTTAATTTTGTTGTTCAACCTTATAATTAAACTGCATTGCAATTATTTCATAATTTAGATAGTATTCCATAAAACCTTTTAAATAAAAAATAAAATGGTGGATCTTTTTTATGTGGATCTGAAAAAATTACATTAAATTAACTATAATGTAAATATTGTTATACATAATTTTGTGTGAAGCTTAGAAATGAGAGAAAGTGCATAGTTCTAAAATGATGTGTTCTTAATAATAATTCTGATTATTATTGATTTACTTTAAAAAATACACTGATTTTTATTACATGCTTAATTTGCTATGTTACATTTTCTTTAAAAATAATTCTAAAAAAACGAATTAAGGTTACATTACTTAGAATTTAAACTTTTGTACCATTTATCTGTATTTTACAATTTATAATTTCACAATTTCAAACTTATTGTTTAAATCCACCTT